TAAGTTTAAAAACTAATATTGCTTTCAAATAAAAGCATGCAACTTCTTACTTAACATTGCCTAAACAATTGAGTCCTACATCACATAAATTGCTCAGCAAACACCGAGCAATATTTGTCATTCTCCAATTTAGCAATGCAACATAATCACTTAACAACGTAGCCATGACCGATTACTTGATCGCAAGAACATCTCAATGTGACCAATCATGCAAAACTTTCTCCAATTATATGATTTTTCACCCTCACATATTCTTTTCTCATGTATACGCTAACAGCACTAGGGAAGCGAAAAACAAGGACCATGAGCTTTCCAACAAGTACGTGTAGTAAGGAAATTGAAATAAGATGAACTAAGTTGCATAATTTTATGACCTATCACTAGCCAATGCATCCTAAGTTTCCACCACCCTTGCTATTATTCACCCTCACACAAACTAATTCTTTTCTCATATGCACGCTCACAGCACTAGCAAAAGGAATAAGAACGAAAGGATAAGAATGCCGATGAGTACGAGTAATTAAGAAACAGTAATAATATAAACTTACACAATTTCATGCGTGATCCTTGCAACAAGATTTTGAATTTGTGTTTATTCTTGAATGACTACGGTAATTTGAACTTTGCCCTTATCCAATGAAAAAAAGGGCCCCGCTTTAAAACAGAAGGCCATTGATTTTTGCTTTAAAGCATTTCCTTCTTAAAATCCATACGATGGTTCCAGCAATACTCAACAGCAGCGGTAAAAGACCTCTTATAGCAATGGCTTGTAAACTTTCTGAATTCATCATTCTTATTCTTGTTTACAGATGTTTTTGGTATTCATTCTATGGTTAAATCTTTCTTAAATTATATGTATGTTAGCTCTGGCCTACTAGTTTTCCTCACCTTTTCATGTTAATTCTAACTCCAAACACCCACTTTAATGTCGTTTCCTTTTCAATGTTACACAACCCCAAATTTGAACTTTTATGCGTGATCCTGGCAACAAAGCCAATGCAACCAAATCTTTCACATTCACCTTCACATGGACTAATTCTTTTCTCATACGCTCGTTCAGAACACTAGGTAAGGGACAAAAATGCCCATGAGTAATTAGGTAACAATAATAGCTCACATACTTTTATGCATGATCCTTGCAACAGGATTTCGAATTTGGGTTTATTCATGAATGACTATAGTATATAGTAATATGAACTTCGTACTTTTGCAACAAAATGAAAGGGCTCCACTTTAAAACAGAAGGTTAGGGGAAACAAAATTAACATATAGGAGAGTAAAAAATCATTTTTGCCCCTTCTAAAAAATCAATTTTGCCCCCGTAAAAAGCCTTTTGCCCCTACCTGCCATTGTTGTAGTATTCTTTACATTTGAGCCATCCGATTCTAAAAGTTTCATTCATTTCTGCCATCTATTGCATTTTCAACTTTATCTTCTCCCAATGTATATGTATTCTCTTGATGTAGAACGGAGGGGGACATAAAAATTAAAGATCTAAAATTTCATCTCACATTTTCCTTAAAGTAATGGATTTGAATTTGAAATTCAAATACGAAAAGAAGGGAGGGAAAAGAGGAATTAATTATCTCCTTAATTGGGGTCTTTAATTAGGAAGGAAATAATTATGATAGAGGAGAAAGAGAGAGGGCTGGCCAAGGAGGGACGAAAGATGTCCAAATTCGATGTATGTGTCCACATACATTGAATAAGGAGAATTAAATTCAAATCAAATCATTTAATTCAGATTTGCACTAATTGGGGGGAATTTCCTAAAATAGGTGTGGGATATTTAGGAAAGATTTTTTAATTCAAATTCATTTGAATTTGAATTATGAAATCTTTCCAAATATGATAGGGACCAAATTAGGAAGATGATAATGATGTAATTATAATAAAATTTTGTGTTTGCACTTGTGTTCTTTGGGAAAAACCTTGGGTGAGATTCCTATGGGAGGAATTCATAGCTTCCACCAGCCGCAGGATGTAGCCGGGCTCGTGGCCTGAAGTCCCTTGGTGAAGGACAACGTAGTACCCGTCAACTGCAGGATGTGTCCGAGCTCGCGGTTGTATCTTTCTTTCCCTATCTCCTTCCCTCTCTCTTTCTCCACCGGCCATCTTCTCCACGTCCCCTTTCTCGAGGTGAAGAGTTCTATTTGTTAACCATGGATTATTATTTCTCACCATAACATTACTCTCTATTTATGTGTTGTTAATTTGATATTGTCCCGTTAATCTAATTGTAACTGCAAGCCTTAGTCTCTAATTGATAACTCCGAGAACCTAACTTGGGTAAATACTAAATTTATAATTAGCAGAGTTTTAATAATCTTATATTAAAATTCCCAAGCAGTTCTTGTTTCTTTGCATATGTTTCACATCATCTTGGTAGATGATGTAAAACGTACATGCGAAGATGAGTTGCTTAAGGAAATTTGCACGCTTAATATTCAGAGCACAATAATTATAAGCTTTATATTGATTATAAACGACAAAATAAAACACAAAGAGCGGTAAGGCAAGTTTAGGCTAAATCACATGCATAGAGGTTAAGATCGTAAAACAATCACTTATTCTAACATTGCATACATGAATGATTTTCAACGTAAATCCCTAAACTAACAATGAAAATAGTCACTATGAGGCAAGTCCCTCTCTCATTTTTTAAGATACTAAGCTTTAGCGGGGAGGATGACGATGAACTCGATGAATTAATTAGTTCCACAATTGAGAATGACTAGGAAAATAAGAAACAAGGGAAGAGTTCACCCAAATCTTGGTCTTGGAACTTTGTGACAGCACTTGGAAAGGTCTCCCAAATTGGATAGTCACTTTCTTTGGTTGAATCTTCTCTGGATGACAGTCTGGATCTTGTTTGGAGAGTTGGGACAATAGCTGGGGGATTCTTGAGCAGCAGGACAACAGTTTTTGCTGATGAAAACCTTCTGGGCGGCAACTAGAGGGCTCATGGCAACAATACGGCTGATCTCCCCTTGCTGGAATGGATGGACAGCAGGTTGTTCTTCTTTAAACAACAATTTGAGAGGGTCTTGTTGACAGGAGAGGCTTGGAGAGGTGCAGGAATTCTGGACAGCAACCTTCTGAGAGCTAGGGGAGGGAGGTGGGCGGGTAGAGAGAGGGGAGGTGGGAGCATGCTGGCGGCATCAGGAGGGAGGGAGAAAGCAGATGAAGTTTTTGGATTGCTTGCCTAATCAGCAACTATCAATTAGGAATAGATTAAATCAATCCCAATTTGAATTTTAAATTGGGCTTAATTTAGGGACTTAAATGGTGATTGATTAGGCAAGCATTAATGAGAAATATGGAGTGGGCCGGCCTAGAGAGGGAGGGGAAAATTGTGTCCACATTCAATGAATGTGGACCAAGGCATTAATTGCAATAGGGAATTAAATCTGAGATTTATTTCAGATTTAAGGTGAACTTGGAGGGAATTAATTTGAAATTTGAATTCAAATTAAAGAGGGATAGGGAGCTTTAATGGACATTAATGGGGGCCGGCGGCATTAAGGGGGAGGGAGGGAATTGGGGAGGAGTTTTGGGGAGTTTCTAAACAAGGTTTGTGAATTAGGAAAGTTAATAATAAATCCAATCTATTTGAATTTAAATTGAATTCATGACTAAATACTTTCCTAATTAGGATTTCTAAATATGGAAATAATTTGAATTTCAAATGGGATTAAATCCTTTCCATTTTCTTGTGGGGGTTAATGTAGGAGGTCATTATGGTGATGGGGATCATCATAATGGTGGGAAAAACATGGGGTGGCCGGTGGTTGGATCTTGGGTTGGGAAGGATTAGGTGGTGGTGGGGGATTAAGTGGATCAACCATGCAAGGGGTGAATCACCTTGGTGGACGGCGGCTAGGTGGGGTGGGTGAAGGATGTTGACCGGCGGCTAAGTGGAGAGGGAAGGATTAATGGCCGGTGGTGGAGCTTGGTTTAGGGAGTGGAGGACCGGCGGATTTGGAGTGGGGAAACTCTAAACCGAGGGCAAGGAGCGAAGGAGAAGGGGGAAAGAAGAAGATAGGGAAAGAGAACCATGAACTTGGACGCTTCCAAGGTTGGTGGGTATTGACTTGCCCTTCACCAAGGGACTTTCTCAAAGCTCTCTCCAAGAACTCTCAAACTCTCACAAGAGTAAAACGCAGAAATTTTCATAATAATCTTCATTAACCCTCAAGGGAGGAGGGGAGGGCTTTAAATAGCCAATACATTGTGACAAATAAAAAGTACTAAAATGCTCCTAGGGCTTACACATCTCTAAACCCTTAAGTAAGGGCAAAAGTGGAAAAGACAACACAGTCATAAACAAAACAAATACATCAAATAATAAAATGAACATAAACAAAGTAGAGCGGATGTCCTCATCATCTCTGTTTTTGAATTGCTATGAAAATGAGTAAGTAATGAAGGCTCATTTTTCTATGCAATAACTTTAGTTTAGAAATATTTTTTGAAAATGAGATAATTAGTGCAAAAGAAATAGGATTTGATTAAGAATATCAATTATGTTTTTTTTCATGTTCTTGCAATATTTTATTTTTAAACTTTTTTTGTGGCTGAAAACATGATGATGATTTTGATAGACATTTTTTTGCATTTAGAAGCTGAAAAAAAAAAAGATCAAATACAAAGCTGGAAAAAAGTTTTTAATACTTGTGTACATGTTAAAATAGTAAGGTTAGATTTTAGAAAATGAGGTCCTTCTCTTGATTGATGTCCAATTTCATACGGTAGACTAAAATTTCAGGCTATCATCTTTTGCTTGAGTTTTCTCATTCTATCTTCTGTTTCCGTTGTAGTTTTTTACACCACAAGTAGAACAACATATGGTGTTCTTCAATTTAATGAGTGGAGCCTCCGACTTAAAGTTGGGATAAGAACGCAATGAATGTTTATCATGTTTGCTGCACACATTTAAAATAATTTAAAACTAAACTGTGTAAATCAAGAGATTTGGAGATTACAAATCCTCCACATACCATTACCAGCAAGGTTTTGGTGACAGCTGCCATATGAACCTATCTTGACATCCATCTTTTCAAGCATACTAAGCGCTTGCAGACGGAAATTTCGTGCCCCACAATTTGAAATAAACGCAGCAGCAATGGGATCTTCAGTCTTGGGTCGTGTCGGTGCCATGATGTCATACTCAGCCCAAGAAAAATAGCCAACAGGTACATCAGATGATAGGCTGGTTGTCATTATGATGCTAAACCCTTTCCTTAAAAAAAAAAGTATTGTTGATCTTTAAATTTGAAATTCAAAAGTACTGTGTATTTAGAAATAAAATCATGTCTAAAAAATATTGATTAATAATGACATAACACCATAATAACGTTCCCTAATGGCTAAAATGCATAAGAACAACCAATGTGCTTTTGATAAGAAAATTCCGTGGTTGCCAAACAGGATAAAATTATGTAGAATATAAATAACAACTAAGCATTATGCTTCATTCGATAGGACTGACTGCATAATAAGAAAATCTAATGGGTGAAAACTTCATAATTATCAGTAAGTACTGTTAACAGATCAAGTAATATTTAGGTGTTATAAGTTTTAAATATTCTGAATCTATTACAACAACAAAAAATTAGGCTATAAACAAGGAAATAATTTCAAGAGTTATAGTTTGCTAGTTAAGATGGAAATGTGTAACAAAAGTACTACAAAATAGGAATTTCATGAAAACAAAAGTCCATTGGGTGAGAAATAGCCACGATTTCATGTTCAACCCATTAGAAATAGCCAACAGGTACGTGATATGAGAGACAGGTTATCATTATGATTTTAACAAATGAAAGTATTGTTGATCATTAAATTTGAAATTCAGAAGCATAACAAAATTGAAATTAAAATCCTGTTTCAAAATATGAATTAATAATGGCAGAACGCCATAATAGCCTTTCCTTGAAACTGCCATAATAGCCTTTCCTTGAAACTGCCATAATAGCCTTTCCAGATGGCTAAAATGCACAAAACAACCAATGTGCTTTTGATAAGACGACATCCTGGTTGCTAGAACAAAAAAAAAGTAAAATATAAAGAATAACTATGCTACTATGATCCTAATATGTTTTGAAGATCAAATAAGCACCCAAAACAGCCCCTAGAGCGAAATCAGCACCAAACAGTAAAAAACATGCACCAAAATAAAGAGAAAAACAACAACGGTATGCAGGAACAACACTAATAAAGTTGAAATAGCAATCTTCAATCAAAGAAACACAAGATACAATTAATTCATTGTTCGAGAGGTGAATCGACTCTCCCCTAATTTTCAAATAGCAACTAGGAACCAACAATCACCTAAGAAAAACTACTTCATAAAATTATTCACATAATCCCTCCCACATACAAACTTTCCCCCTTTAAACCAGCCCTAATCCCACCATAATGCACCTCATATTTCCTCCAATAATCTACCCTTAAACGTTTTCCTCCTATAAGTCTAAAATGAGGTGCTATGACCCACAAAACAAGAGTCTTTTGGCTCTTGAAATGAAGTGAGGTCCACAATCGTATCAATACTCCCCTCACAAAAAGTCACCTCATCCTCAAGATTGAAAGAAAGAAATTGTCTTTGGATAGTGTAGTAGGCTTCTCATATAACTTTATATTCTGGTAAATTCTTCCACTTGATCAATACTTCCTTGATCCCCTGTCTCCTTGGGGCACCCCTTGCACCTCCAGTGATTTTAATATTACCTCCATATCTTATAACATTGTAGCCGATAGTACGGGCGAGGGTGTATTGTCTCCAATGGCTTGTCTCAATTGTACACATGAAATCATAGATGAATGGCTAAAGTTGGTGGCAACAGTAGTGTGGGCTCCGAAAATACGGCCCCGGCCTCCCCGCTTTTCTTTTTATTCGGCGAGGGAGTTTTAACTGATATGTTCCGAGGTAAATTTTGGAAGGCAGATGGGTTTGTAGATAAGACACTACCAAGAGATTTCGCCCTCATTTTGTGAGGACTTTATGATCTGAGTTCTGGTTTCCTATAAGTGCAAGCCCCTATAAGTTAATTACCCCTCCCGTTAATGAGAGAGAACTTTTGATTAAAGCTAGTCGTCAATCAGATACGTAGAGAATACATGTTATCTAACATATAGTAGCAACAATGGATTTGGAATTGAGAATTTGAAGGTTTGGGAATTTGAAGTTTAAGGTTTGGATATTTAAAAGAGAAAATTTCACCATCTTGCACTTAAAGCGGATGGTGGGGAAATGGATGATAGACCCGATCAAGATCACATGGTTCCATCGTCCCGGACCATCATGGCTCTGGTTTACTTAGTCAGAGGAGGTAGTCGACCCAACCTGACAGAAGGATCCTTTTCGACAGCCATGGGTTGCTTCGTCCAAGGGTACCTTGTAGACCTGGGGTGAATGTTTGATTAAAGGGACAAATTTGAATCCACCTTAGCTAACAGAGGGCTTTGTGCCCTATCAATCAAATCCTATTGATTCATATCTCAAGGATTTGATGACACTAATGAACGTATTGGCTATGGCCATAACCGATTTTTGTGGTGCCATTTGGCGGTAAAACCACTCGGTTCAGAGGGCCCCGGGTCATAACCGTTTATCCTGCAGTGCCATTTGGCAGCAAAATCGCCGGTTAGAGGACACGTACCACGTCCTTACTGGCAGAAGCTTGTTTGAGAATGGATCATAATAATATTTTCGACTAGGCATTTGGCTCTTTGTAACAACAACAACATCAAGCCTTTATCCCACTACGTTGGGTCGGCTACATGAATCCTTTTTCTCCATTGTGTCCTATTAAAAGTCAAATTCTCGTTTAAATCTAATAAAGAAAGGCCATTCCTAATATTTTCTAACCAAGTCTTTTTAGGTCTACCCCTACCTTTCTTAACATAAGTCAAATTTAATACCTCTACTCTCCTAACCAGGTCATCAGAAGGCCGCTATTTTATGTGACCAAACCATCTAAGGAGACT